TAAAAATTCCCTCCTTATCTGATACCAATCAGGGAGGGGTAATTGGCTCTCCAGGGCTAGCGGCTGGGGTCCTGATGAAGAGATATGTGTGTCTGCTCCGGCTGTCCAGGCACCCTGCCCTGCTGCACCAGCGACACAGGCCACAATTAATAATGATTTGCAAATGGCAGACAAGCAATAACGCAGAAAGATGTCCAGCCAGCCTCCTGCCCGCCCCTTAATTTCCTTCTGTAATATAAATGGCACGGGGAAAGAAAATCCAGCGCTATAAATTCTGAAATTAGTTATTCACCGTAATAAATGGTTCCCTTTTTGGTGCACAGTCCCCCCTATCCTTCTCTTCCGACCTCCCGCATTTCCTCCTCCCCGTCTGCCCCCCTCGCCCGCTCCCTACTTCATTTGAGTCCTAATATGCAAATGCTGTAATTTAACGGGATGGTGAAGTTGATTTTCATGTTAACTTAATTACTTTGATTTATGAACGGCTGGAATGCAGACGTTGCTACATCATTACGTATCTCCCACCCTCTCCCCTTTACGGTCCCGCTGACCCTCTTGCTCTTTGCTTTTCTTCCCTCTTCTTCCCTCTTCTTGCCCTTTCCTTCTTACTCTTCCGCAAGTTTAGTGTTTTATTAGCTGCCTTTAAGTGGACATAAGTCCTCGCGACAATCGCATGATGTGGAGGACAAATTCCCCGTCCTGCCTTGTTTAATCGTGCCTGGATAATGGATGTATAATTGACTCATTTGAATGCTTTTGCCTACAGGAGTGCAGAGCATTAAATGTTTGATTGCCTTAATTTCCAAACAGATCATTATCCCCTTCTTACCCGCTCTTAATAAACACTTTATGAGGATTTTTTTTTGTAAAGGAAAAAAAATCTCCACTCCCCGTACTTCTCTGAAGTGATAAACTCTAATTAAGTCTAATATTTAAAAATATGGTAATGGTGACTTGTTTGAATAAGTGGCCTGCATTTCCATAATTTCATTATTACGTAAAACACGCTAATTATTTGAAGTGCGCTTATTACTAAAAGAGAAATCTCCTCCTAATCAAGATGGAAGTGGCTGCTGCGCGGCGCTCGCCGCTGCCCGGCCCTCCCGCGGGCGCTGCCGCCGCGCGCTTTGTCTGGGCACACGGGGCTGGGGACGCGGCCGGGCGCCAGCGCCGGTGCTCCCTCGGCAGCCGGGACGCCGCGGTGATGGGCACGGGCCTCGTTCTGCAGCCCCGGTGTCCCTGCAAGGGGTCCCTGTGGATGGGAGGCGATGGGAAGGGAGCGGGCGCCGTTGTTGCCTCAATGGCAGCCGGTCCTGGGCAGGAGGAAGCGGATGACAAGAGAGCAACGCGAGCGATGCGCTGGGATCCCCCTCGCAGGGGTCCCTTCCCTGGGGTCCCCTCCCTGGGGTCCCCTCGCAGGGGTCCCTTCCCCGGGGTCCCCTCCCCGGGGTCCCTCCGAGGCCTCGGCTCCCCGCTCGTCCCGCCGCGGCAGGCGCGGGCACGAAGCGCCCTGCGAGCGGCCCCGGGCACCGCGGGCAGGCGTCGGCGGGGCGCGCGCGGGAGGCRCTGGGAGGAAGTCAATATAAAACTAATTTTCCTTTCTTCGTGAAGAAATGAGGTGTGTGGCAGTAACGTAATTGCGGATAATGAGGTAAGTTATTCTTAATATCCTGCGCGGCGCTGTCAGCTCCACCTCAGGTACCTGCCGGCCGCCCGGGCCTGCGCAGCCGCTCGCGCACGGGATGATCGGGCCATTTATTCGGGAGCAGCCCGCACTGTGCCCGTCCTGGCGCATTGTGTCACCGCGGTGGCCGGGCACCCCCGTGTCCCCAACGCCGGGCGCTGGCTTCAGCGGAGCTTGCGGACCAGACACGGATCCCAGCGTGGAGCCTGTCCCTGTCCCCGTCCCCTCCAAGGGGACATCAGGCTGTGGCAGGTCCGTTGGAGGCTGTGTCCGGGCGTTCCCCATTCCACCCTGCCGGGAGCCCTGCGGCGCTGGAGCGTCAACCTGCCGTGACAGCAGTGACAAACGGCCCCTCGCTGCCCGAGCAGCGCTCCGGTACAGGCCATAAAGCAGGGGGACAGCTTAAATATGGCCCCGCTGGCTCGGCCGGGGCGGCCATCCGTCTCGGGCCGCCCACGGGGCCGCGGCTCCGGCCTGGATTCCCGCTCCCGCGCGGGCCGCTGGAGCCGGGCAGAGCCGCGGGAGGAATTTCAGCAACCCCGCGCTGACCCCTCTCGCGCCCGCCGCGCAACACCCCTAAATCAATTGCATCTTATTATTACAATATCAATATACAATATTCCTACAATAACAGCATTGATTTTCTACTCAGAGGCTGCACCTAAGTCTGCTTTAAAGAGGAGGCAGTTAATAGCGCCCTCATTAAAAATCTATAGATTGCCCCCCACCCCAAAAAAAGAAGCGGCAGTTTATATTCATTAGGGCTATTGAATATAAAGTAATATGTTTGTGTAGGACATTGGAGTAATGTGATAATCCGTCCGCATATCAGGGAGAAATCCACTTAGCAACCCTGTCAGCTTGACAAGAAAAATGTGCCCATAAAGTCGGGAATACACGGAGGGAGCGAGCGGCAGGGAGCCGCACGCGGCACCGCAGGGCATCGTCCCCTGCCCGGGACGCGGCGCTTCCCGTGGGAGAGACACCTGGGGACGGAGCGGGGCACAGGGCAGGACCGGGATGGCCCCGCGGCGGCTCCTCCGCCCGGCRCATCCCGACCGCGGCCCGGCACCGCGGCGATGGATTAAGCACTGAAAGCGCAGGAAAGCAATCCCGGCCGCGCTCTCTTAGGTTGTCAATTGCCATTTTGGTAATAGAAATTCCTTTCACAAGGTAACGACGGGCAGATTTAGAGGATTTCATATTGCTAATAATTCCCCAAACGGCCATCTGACTGTGTTGTTTTAAAAGCCGCTTAGTTTTTTGCTTTGGAGTTTATGAAAATCTCCCACTCTAATATCCCGAGAGCCAGCCTATAATTGTGTTATTAAATCAATCGGAGCGGATTACATTGTAAAATCAATAGATGGCTGTAATTGCATATTAGAAAGTTGTTCTGCTGTTGTTGATTTTTTTTTTTACATGGATAATTATAATAAGCATGTTTACCTTGGTGCTGATTTGGAATCCGTCTCCCTAAATGACTTAGGAGGCGCTCGGCACTCGCTCCGGCGCGGGGAGCCGCGCGAGCGCCCTGGCTCCTGCTGCACCCGCTGCCAGGACGGGAGGGCAGGGACGTGGGGCACGTCCCGGCCCCGGCACCGCGGGCAGTGGGGCGCACGGGATCAGTGGGGTGCCGGCGGAGGGGGAGGACACCAGGGGTGCCGAGGGGCTGGGGCAGCCCGGGGGGGTCTCGCTGCCCGCTCGGCGCCTGCTGCACAGTTTGGCCATGGGTGCAGGAGCGGTAGCAGCTCCGGGTGCCCTCGGTGCAGGGGCAGTGGGTGGCTCTGGGACCCGGGCTCTGGCGACTGGCAGGAAGGGGCTCGACCTCGACCCAGGTTTCGTAGGGAAGTGCCCTGGCACCGGGCCCTGGGCTCCCTGCTCCCCAGCATGGGCCGCGCCGGTGCCAGCCTCGCGGAGCCGGTGCCGGCCAGGTTGGGCTCCGTGTCGGCCTCGTTTGGGCTCCAGGCCAGGCCTGRCCGCAGGACAAGGGTGCCCTCAGCACCGTGGCCCCGCTGGCCTCCGTTCCTGCCCGTTTGGCGCCGCCGCTTCCCTTCGTGTCCCTATAAAAGCAGCCTCCGCAGGGAGGGTTTGCTGCTCTGGAGGCAGCAGGAGCGCCCGGCATCCTGCGCCCGGCTCCGCTCCCGCTCCGGGCGGGCCGGGGTTGCCCACGGAGCCGCCTGCAGCCCGGGGCACTGCACGGAGCAGGGTCAGCCCTTGGCGCTGCGCGGCGGCGTTGGYGGCGTTGGCGGCGTTGGCGGCGTTGGCGGCACACCTGCGCGCACCTGCGAGCGGCGGTGCCGGCAGCGGGCGGGCGCGCGGCGCTGTCAGCAGCCAGCCTGCTCGCTCCGAGACAGTGAAATATGGCCACAATTAGCCCGGATACAGTTCAATTATGATAAACAGCGTTTTCACCCTTTAAGCCGTGATTAAAAGGCCTCCTCCCGTTGATAGAGAGACCTAATTTCACATTATTATCGCTGTAGCTTGATTATAAAGCACTCGCTGGATTTACAGTTGGGAGATGGATGTGGAGGCTTCTTTATCATTTACACATCAGTAATGATGCAGCCTCCCTCCCGCCGGCCCATCCGCGGCGCGGCGAGAGGGGGGCCCAGCCCGCGCCCCCCGCCGGGGCGCCCGTCCCCGCGCCCGCCGGGCCCCGCTGCCACACGCAAGTGGGCAAAGTCACCCTTACGGTAACAGCTTGATGAATGGGCGCGCGGTAATGAAATGGAGACATCAAGGCGCGGGGCGAGGAAGAAAGAGTGGTAATCGGAACGAGTGGAGCTGTCCCGAAACGGAGGGGAGCGGGAAGAAGGATCGCCTCTGCGCCGTGTGCTGTCAAGGGAGAAATTACACATTTACTCTTGCTTTTTCTTAAGGAGACGGCCCTCATAGATCAAAACATGGATTTACAAGCCAATTTTCAACATGAAATATAGACACCAGGAATCAATTTAAGCCCGGCTTCTATTTTAGCAAACGGTGCCTGCGTTTAGTCCCAGGTAAATAACACCAGCGAGCGCCGTCGCCCTGCCCGGCTCGCTCGCCCCGGCAGCGCCGGCTCCGTGCGCCGGGCCGGCGCCAGCGCAGAGAGCGGGCGGCCTCGGCCCGCCGAGGATGAGGGGAAGGGGAGGAAGGTGCTGGGCCCGTGCAGAAGGGCTTGGGCTGCGGCAGGAGCCGGGCTGCAGCGCCCAGAGCCGCGCGGGCCGGGCCCTGCGGGGGGGCCGGTAACGCCGGGCACGGCCCTCGCGGCACCGCAGCCGCCCCAGCGCGCGCGCTAACCCGGCGCCTCTCTCTGCTCTCTCCGCAGACGACTGTAAGAACATCGCCAACATCATGAAGACACTGGCCCATAGAGGCTTCATCTTCAAGCAGACCTCCAAACCCTTTTGATCCCCAGGGCGGGCCAGGCAGGGCTGCATGCGCCCGGCGCCGGCGAGGCGGGGAGGACGGGCTCTAGCATTCAAACGGCAACCGAGGCCAGAGGAACCGACACAAATCTCAATTCAGCTGTTAACTCCAGTAGAGGTTGTATATATGGGAAGGCAAATCTGTGTAGACCTGATGTGACTCCCTCTCTGGGCTGCTCCGGACATTATGCCATGCTAGCGGACAGCCGCGTAGGGCGCTTGCACCACATTTTAGACTTGTAGTTTCTTTTCTTTGGCTCCCCGATTTCCATCCCCGCCTCCGTGTCCCACCCCGTCCTCCCCGTAGCCAGAGCATCCCCCGGCATGGGCCGTCCCCGCCTTCCCCTCCTCTTTCTTTTCTCCCRTTTTATGTTTTCAGGCCCTGACGGCAGCTGCGGCAGCCCCGGCGCGAGCCCCRGCTGCGCCCCCGGTGCCGCAGCGGCGTCGAGGCGGCCCCGAACCCTCCCCGCCAGCCCCGGCCTTTCCCCGGCGCCTTCCCGCCGTCTTTTTGAATCAACACTAACCCCTCCCCGACTCCTGTATGTGACAAACGCGATCCGTCTCTTTATGTTCAAGGTGAAGTGCCTGTATTCTCCGCTGCAGAGCCCCGGCAGCCCCGGCGCGGGCTGCGGGGGCCCGGAGGGCTCCCTTCAGCGGGGCCGGCTTTGGCGGGAGGGAGGTGCCCGTCCCGGTCCCCGTCCCCGTCCCGCTGGTGCCTCTCGCAGGGAGCGGGCGCGCAGCCCCGCCGGGGCCGGCCGCTCGCCGCGCCGCGTCCATTGCCGGCGGTGGAC